TTCGATCGGGTAAGGACAAGTAAAAACCTATCCTAACCCATCTCCTGGTCACCCCTATCAATACACATCCTATATTGATATATTTTTATGACTTTAAAAAATGATATTCATAAATTAAATAAATAGTATGATGTATTTAACGATTATATTTTATCTTCTTAGGAAATGTGTTTAAACCTAACTCAACATAATAAAATCAGTTTATAAGTTGACAATTACTTTTCATTTATATATTTTTGTTGGCCTTATCCTTAATTGATGTGAGAATTAAATTTTTTTTAATACACCTTTATCATGCTCAACACTATTAGACTTGGTGTCTAGAATATACAATACTTAAGTTTTTCCTAATACACTTCTCACACCCAACATTATTACACTTGGAGTATGAATAAATGGTGGATGACCATTTTTAAATGATTCAAATTATCATGATGCACCTCCTAAAGCCTAACACTATTAGCCTTGATGTGTGTATAAATAGTAGATAATCATTTTTAATAGATCTAGGATAACTTTATAACATCTTAGAAATGTAGATTTTGGCCTAAGTGAAATCTATAAAGTAAGCTTATAGGTTTAATATGGTATCATAGTTATCCTAGACCTATTAAAAATAGTCACCTACTATTTATACACATATCAAGTCCAATAGTATTGGATGTGAGGAGGTGTATGAGGAAATTCTGAAGTCCCACTTATTTAATTATGCACCAAGCCACACCCAATAATACTAGGTGTGAAGGACTGTAGAAAAAAATCTAAGTTTAACATTGACTAGAAAAAGGGAAAATAATATATATATATATATATATATATAATATATAATATAATATAAGTTAGAGAGTAAAATATAATCACAAAATTATGACCAAATACCATATAATAATAATAAAAACTGGGATGTTACAAATAAGACTTTTTTTCTTAATGCCATCAAGATTGAATAACAAGGCTTGTGTTACTTTGAGTCTTTCTTGCAAGAAAAACAATAATAACATAAGTCACTTGTCTCCAAGAAAGTACAATAACATGTTCAAAACATAAAAATGGGTTCAAATAACAACTAAGCAATAAACTTGAGGTGGGAACTTTCAATTACTTATAGAATAAGATCAATTATTAGTGGATGGAATTAGAGGTGCGAGTGAGAGCTCTAGTTGGAAAGGACTAAAATATCAAACTTGTCATAACTAGGAATGTGCTCAAACTTGTTAGTCCTTAGGTTAGCAACAAAAACCCCATCAACATAAGAATGCAAATACACAATGTCCCTATCATAGGGATGAAATCCCCCTACACACTTGAAGAATTTAACATAAAACTTGGTGGGAGGTTTGTGGAAAGATTGTTCATGTGCACTAATTTCCATGTTTGGTAAAACTTTTGTTGGAGTGGTGTCTTCTACTTGCCATATTAGGTCCCACACTCTAAATATAGGCAATCTTCAAAGTCTCACCAAAGTACCTAGGAATCCAAAGTTCACTATATTCATAAAATTAGCATCTTCAGGATAATCAATGGTATAACGATCCACCAAAATGCAATCAATCACAAGAACACTTGTTGTGCTCATGAAAGACGTGTTTCTTTTATGTGCCAAATCGAGCATTCATTGAGGGGCAAAAACAAATCCTTTTATGTAGCTCGTATATATTATAAACCGCTTACCTATCTCTAAGAGGAAAACCTTTATTCTAAAATGACTCAATCTTCTTATAAAGGAATTCACAATCTCCACCGAAAAATGGTGAGTAGAATTTGAGGTTTCGAAAATGAATCCAACAACATACACATGTGCTTCCTTATTTGTATTAGGAAAAAGAGTTATATGGGTCCATTCCTTGTTGAGTGGATCATACACAAAGTAACCTCAATCTAATGAGTATATGTTGGTGCAACATAAAAATAAGTTGTTGGAATAGCCACACATGTTTCCCACTATGAGCATGTGACATGGGAACAAAAGATCCTTTTGGGTTTGGGTATTGAATTCAAAATTTGGAGGTGGAAAAGTGAGCATGAGTTGGTAGGGTGAAATGAAGGTGAAAATGGCCTTGAGAGAGTGTTGATGAGACACAAATTGTGTTGAAAAATAAGGAATTAAAATCAATTGCAACCAATGCTTACACACATACACACACTTGCATTAAACAATGGATTTATATGAAAAGAATATTTCTCCCAACACATCATATGATAAATTGTTTATATCATTCAATAAAGAAGAGCGCTTCGAAAAAATGATGAATAGAATGAGATATTAGTCATGTGTAATGATTCTATTGTTTTTTAACATAAACCAAATAGTACACTACTTAAAACTATATTGTTGACAAAGAAGACTAAATGGAGGAAGAGGTCGATTGTTTTTTTTCTAGCTTGCTCTTATCAATCCTCATATCTTAACACAATTTAATATACCTCAACATTTTATATTTTTCTTTATTATTTTTAATACTATCATAAATGATTTACGTCTTCTTTCAAATATTTTGAGACTGTTCCCCATTTAAAGTTTTATCAATTAGGAAAATACAAATTTTAATGAAGTAGAATGATATATATATATATATATATATATAATATCATATAAAAAATACAGGCATTTATTACAATTATTTATATTAGTATTTTATATATCTACTAACTTTTTTACCCATATTTTGTCATTTATTTATAGATTATTGTCCGTTAGAAAAATAATAGAGACATTAATTAATATTGTATTGATCCACCAAATGCATGAATCAACTAGTGAAAGATTACTTTAACTTAATTAGTGATATTGAACTCAAGTTCTAGATATGTAACTTTTCTATCCACGAGAATCAAACTTGGTAACAATTAGGGTATTCACAATAACTAACACATTTGGTTCAATTAATTGAGTCAGACCTCTTTAAAAAATTTAAATTTCAACCCCTATCCCTTAACTTCAACAACAATTCTTAAATCCTAAATATGTAATTATATTAAATACATGTGGTTTGTAAAAATAGAAAGGAAGAAAAAGTTCTTTTTAACAACTTATGTCTTTTAATTTACTATCTCATATTTTTATGTCAAAACTGAATTTAATTTGAAATATTTTCAATAATTAGAAATAAATGTATATCACAATTTATGTGTTGTAAATACAAATATAATTTATATATTAAAAATAATTTTTATTATATAAAAAATATTTATCTTATTATGAAGATAAATATTTGTTAACATATCTAACTAAGATTTATAATAAATTATATATAAATAAATTTTATATTTGAATATATAAATTATATTTAAAATTTATATAAATAAATATTTTAAAATATATAAATAATATTTTTTAATTTATGATAAATAATTTATATTTGACACAAGATTATTTTTAATTATTATTAACTTATTTTGATATTATTAAAGTTTAATTTATAAATAAATATGACAAATAAAAATTAAAACTAATAAAAAATTAAAAAAAAAATCTTAAAAACTCTTTTATCATAAAAAAAATCCATGAAAATATTATTGATAAAAAAAAGTTCTAAAAAATATTATCATTTAATAAAGTTCATCATATTTAATATAGATTATTGCAATTTTTATGTTTGAGTTGTATAAAAAATTAGAACTTATAATAATAATAATTAATATTTGAACTTATCCAATACATAAAATAAAAGTTGTTGGCACTCATTAAAACTAATGATTTTCGAATCGGGTGGTAACTACGATGAATAAATTTATCATATTATCTATCGATGTACAAGTGAACAATATCTTATTTATTCATTTATTTTATTTGAAATGTTTAAAATTACTTAAAAAATCATTTTTTTAAGAAACTTGAGTTTCACTTCGATTGTAGCTAGCATTGTAGATGACAAGGTGGTGGTGATTGTCGATGACAGTAAACTTGACTCAAAAGTTGCAAATGATGAGATGGTGGTGGCTACCATTGAGAACACGGGATTCTCGAGATAGGTGCGAACGATTTTAGTGAAGAAAGAGGAAGGCGAAGGGATCTCATTCCTGCATCTTCCTCATTGAAGTTAGGATCCGTTATTATTGTCGAAGTTAGCACTCACTGGAAAGAAGTGTTAGGGGTTTGAGGCTTGCACTTTCTCTTTGGTGCTTTCGCTTTCTTCCTCTTCATCATGCACTTTCTCCTTCTTCACCTAGACCCAAACCTCGTTTTGTTCATCTTAGCATCCATCACGAAGATGTCGTTATCAAGGACAAAGACGCTACCATAGGTGGGACTACAGAGCTTGTAGGCGGCGACGATCTTGTCATCAGTCTTGAGGTGTTCATCATCGAAGGAGGAAGGGGGATGAAGCCCTTAAGGGTTGAAGGTGATGTTGTTGTTGGGACTGATGAAGTTGAAGAAGGAGATTGGAATTGACATAGTTAAAGAAAGAGGTTGGGGTTGACAAGGGATGACGGTGTGGGTGTTGAAGGAGGAAATTAGAGTTGACGACGGTAGGAATAACATGAGAATTTTTTTTGGACAAAAGGATCATTTACCTTCAGGCAATAAAATTAATACATTAATAAAAAAAATTATCATCAAATAAATTTAAACCATTTAATGTAATTATTCATATATCTAACATTATTTTTTACTTTTTCATCAATGAACCATATGAAAAACATACTTTATTTTATTGATCCATCTATAAACCATATAATATATTGGTCCATGGTAGAAATTGTCATCAAATTGATGATGATAGAAATGATAATAAGAAAAATTGGTGATAATGGCTCACCCCACCAACTTAACCCCGTGGATCATGGCAAGAAGAGTCTACAAGGCCCTAGGCCAAATAAATAAATAAATAAATAAATAAATAAACAAGATTAGTTCATGATCTTAATTAACCAATATGGACTCATAAAGTGAGTTAACCCAACTTGTGGTCAGCTTAGCCTACTCTATGACCTACCTAAACCATATACAGTACTAATATCACATTGGACCTTCATTAACTTTTACGATAAAGTTATAGTTATTTAAATTGTGCCGTTTTTACCTTCCATTCATATACAATAATTCACAAATACATGCAATTAATTCACATCTACACACTTCATCGACAATTTATGAATTACATAATGCATACAATGAATTTTTAAGTGACACAAACCGAATCTATTCTCCTCCATATCCTAGTTCAGCATCCAAATCGCATTCTTCGAAGCCCACATTTGCTTTCACCAATTCTCTTCTTGCTATTTCAAGATTTACCTCTGCTTCAATCATCTTTTCCTTCAACTTCTTTGTTTCCATTTCTAAAGTAGTCACATTCTCCTTCATCTTTTTCACTTCAATAGTTCTCTCCATACAAGTTTTCATACCCAAGGCAGATTGAACATGAGGTTCAAGCCAGGCCAAATCAAACTTAAATGTCTCAAGTTCCTCCCATAAGATTTGGAGTTGATTACAAGCATCTTCATTCATATCTTTCACCCTTTTAGTCTTAAGAAAATGTAGAATTCGCCCTAAAGCTGTGAATGCCCATTCAATAAACCTACGTGTTCTCTTCTTTTGACTGTCTATAAGTGAAGGATGTCGTGAACATACTTCTTCTAGCAGAGGAACAAAACCTTGTTCTATTTTTCCTAAACCTCTAAAATCCATTGACTCACCGAATGTTGTGAACATTTCATGGGATAAAAGATTATCAATGTGTTTAACAGGCTTATCATCAATCTTGTTATTAGGTGGATCAACTTGGTTCTTATGTTTTGGCTTGTTGACCAAGATCTCAACTTCAATTATACAAGTATCATTCACAATAAATCCTTTGGTTTTCCAAAGTTCATTTAAAGATATGAATGTCGGAAAACCCCAATCAATCTCGTGTGCATTAAATTGGTGTTCAGTTTCTGGCAAATTCATGAATATAAAGTTAGTTGGGCTGGATTAAAAGATATGATTATCAAATTTAATACATAAAAACATGCTGACGATATTAATTTCTACAGTAACGTACGTTAAGGATTAGGTTTTTTGTTCTATTATAATATTACTATAAAAAAAATTACCATTTGCAAATACCCTCAATTACATTTATAGTGTGTTTGGATGAGAAATTTAAATGGAGTAATTCATTTATTTGAAGAATTTCAAATTCTTTGAGGTGAAATGCCTTGTTTGAATAGAGAATTTATAAAGAATATGAAATTCAAGCATTTGTGAAATTTCTTGAAATAATAGAATTTCAAATTCTTCCAAAAAAGTAAGAATTTGAAATTTCTCATATTTTTTTTCTTATTATTTCACTTGTATATTTTATCTTATCTCTTATCTCTTCATGTTTTTAATTATTGAATATTAAAAAATATTTTTAAAATTATTAAATATTATCTAATATTAATTTTTAAAATGATTAAATATTTAAAAATTAGCTAATATTTATTTTTATAAAATTTAATTTAAAAATCTCAACATATAAATATATTTTTAAAATCAATTTTACATTTTTTTTCTTATTATTTCACTTGTATATTTTATCTTATCTCTTATCTCTTCATGTTTTTAATTATTGAATATTAAAAAATATTTTTAAAATTATTAAATATTATCTAATATTAATTTTTAAAATGATTAAATATTTAAAAATTAGCTAATATTTATTTTTATAAAATTTAATTTAAAAATCTCAACATAAAAATATAATTTTAAAATCAATTTTACCATGGTGGAATCAAATTATCATATCCAACCTAATAATTTAAAATTTAAGAAATTTGAATTGACTTATCCAAATAAAATATTTTAAGAATAATAGAAATTGAAATCAAAGTAATTCAAATACCAAAAATTTAAAATTCTTTAAATTTGTAAAATTTTTCATCCAAACACACTATTAAGGAAATAAGTGATTAGTCAATTCGGCATATTTCACATTATTTTATAACAAATGACATTGTTTTAATTACGAGGAAAACTAGAGTTGAGATAATGGATGAAGTTTTAGATTCAAACTTTATTATTATCATTATATGAGCGGAAAAATTTGAAGTATGTATTATTTCTAATAATTTTTTAATGGTATATTTTGATGAAGAATTTTATAAATTTAAGAAATTTAAAATTTTTGGTATTTGAATAATTTTGATTTTATCATTCTTAAAATATTTTGTTTGAATAAGTTATTTTAAATTTCTTAAATTTTAAATTGTTAGTTTGGATATGATAATTTGATTCTATCATAGTAAAATTAATTTTAAAAATATATTCATATGTTGAGATTTTTAAATTGAATTTTATAAAAATAAATATTAGTCAATTTTAAAATATTTAATAATTTTAATAATTATATTAGATAATATTTAATAACTTTAAAAATATTTTTGAATATTTAATAATTAAATATATGAAGAGATAAGAGATATGATAAAAATATATAAGTGAAATAAAAAAGAGAATATGTGAAATTTCAAATTCTTAATTTTTTAGAAAATTTTGAAATTCTACTAGTTTAAAGAATTTCATAAATACTTCAATTTCAAATTCTTTATAAATTCTTCATCTAAATAAAATATTTCATTTCTAAAAATTTAAAATTCTTCAAACAAATGAATTACTTATTTAAATTTCCTATTAAAAAAGAATGTTAAGGAAAATTGCCTGTTAAATATCTGATTTTTCTACCAAAAATGCAAAAGCCAAACCAAAACATAGCTTCCATTCCATACGAAATTTGTAAGAAACATGTGAACCAAATAATATAGCGGAAAGCTGAATCATGATGAAAAGACAGAAGTATGTCACACACACCTCTTATTATCGTCATTTTGTCATTGACTTGATTAATTAAAGCCAACTTAAATTTTGCAAATTTGTTCCAGCTATCTGGTAAATTAGCAAGATCTCCACCAGCATCTAAAAATATAGACAAGTCAGGCCCTTTGTTTCCCTTTGGAAAGATCGCAATTCGCCTAAAAAGGAAGTTACAATTACAAAGCTTATTAAAAATAATTGAAATTTAGGTCAAAAAGAGTATATTAATAATTGAATATCCACATTATAACAACATATCGTAAGTTTAAATGAATTTGAATTCGGTCTTTTTATGCAAAATTTTAAGTTTGAGTATTATAGATAAAAAACAAATTGAGTTTGAGTATTATAGATAAAAAAAATCGTAATTGAGATTATGAGAGTAATTTTGTACCAATAATATAATTAATATATATATATATTATATATAGAACACAGTTCAATCAAGCACCATGTATGGTTATCTAGAGAAAAATTCTTTGAATATAACTTGTTGGTGTCCAATTTAGAGAAGTTCCTAATTGTCCATGTAAACTTCTCAAACTTCTTATCCCCTGTGTTCTGATTCTCCATTTCAATAACTTTTCAGCTTCAACCTAAACGTTAATTAATAACAAGAACAATATTAATTTTCACTTACTATGATAAAAAAAAATAAAACTAATGATTACCCTACATAAATAATCATTTTGTTGGTTGATTAAAAAAAAAAAACTTGAATACAAGGAAAGTTAGAGTGAACAAAACCATACGTATAAATGAAATCTAATTAACTATCCAACACTGATATTCATATCACAAAAACGACATAGATAAACCTCAAATGCAAAATAAATAAATAAAACTACAAAAAAATTGATATCTGGACAACAATGAATAAAACATAACATACCACAGACGATGATTGTCACAACCCAGCACATACGGATGTATAATAAAGAATTTTCTAGGATTGGAAAGCAAGCATATATTATGGAAGCAAAGGGAATGTTCCTTCGTATGAATGTCACAAAAGCAAGGTATACAAAGTCAAGGGGGTTTGGAA